GTTCACTTAAATCATAAATTCATCTTATTTATTCAAGACGTGAATGTAAAACACAATAAAATGTATGCAATTAATGAGTATAAAAGTCAGAAATAAAAAATATTCTATGTTTCTGCTGCTCACCATTTTTAAAATGTGCATATCTCCACAGTTTTTTTTTGTGAAGATAGCAACAGGTGACTAACAAAAAAAATAAACATTATAAATGTTATTTTTAAATAACATTTGGAATAACTGAAATGTATTTTCGTAAAATACTTGTGTTTTTGCAGTTAAATGTTTTGGATACATATTGTTTTTTAATAAAACAGAATAAAGGAGCAACACAAGGCATCGCCACAGGTTAAACTCCCACAGTTACCACTAGGCCCTGTCTGGCCACCCGTATCAGATTGTTCTGGAGGCGCCTCTGCTATAGATGTCACATTTAGAGTTCAGATTGGGATTATTAGTTCCATACTCTTTCATGGACAACAACAGCAACCACACATCAACGTTCAGGAGTCAGCATTTCACTTTTCTGTCTTATTTTGTTTAGTTCAGTAAACCCAGTAGAAATGGTCGACGGTCTACGCAGAGCTGTCCTCTTTGTTACAATAATCTCTATCTTATTCCTCATACTTTGTTTGGATACCCTGTGTAACGTGGCAAAGGGCAGTGCATCTCATCGAATGGCCAGAAGTTAACTCTCTTTATGCAGGTCAGGCCGATATGACACCGGAGGTTTCATGTGAATATCTGTGTAAAATGGTAAATGACCTGTATTTGTATAGCGTCTTCTTAGTGTTCTACAACCCCCCAAAGCACTTCACAACAGTTATTCACCCATTCACACACTGGTGATGATGAGCTACAATGTAGCTACAGCTGCTCTGGGGTACACAGACAGAGGCGAGGCTGCTGAACACTGGCACCACCATTCCCTCCAACCAGCACCAGCATGCAAGGTGGGTTTAGTGTCTTGCCCAAGGACACAACATCAGAATTTTCTGGTCGGAGCCGGGATTGTCCCAGTGTACTTGTCCACTATCCCTATCCTGGTCCATATCCAACTCATACTCCGATTATGAAGGTTTCTTAACTTATCCTGTTCTAAATCACAAGACACCTGTGAAGACACAAGACTTTTTTATCAAATCCTTTAAATAAACTTATCTTGTTTTGGCTCATAAAATTATCTTCTAACTTTACAAGTTATTGCAATCATATTCTGTGGTACCTATAATGTGCTTTTATATCTAAAGGGTTTCAATAATGTTGAATGTCCCACGGTAATGAATGATGAGTCAACAAATGTTTATTCCCATAACGATTTATTCCAGATCTTGAATGACACCAGATTAGTTACTGATTGACTGATGTTTTTATCAGTATATTCACACATTCATAATATTATTATGAACGTTTAACATATTCACTTCACATTAAAGATTTACTCCACATTAGGTGAAAAATGTGTCTTCACGGGTGTCATGGAACAGGATAAGTTAAGCAACCTTCATAGGTTGTTAGGTTTATTTTTCCTTAAAACACTCATTTTGACTTTGGTTTAAAGTGAAAAGAAACAACTGAGGGGTCCTCCTCTTTTATATTTTATGGGCAAAACATGGTTCAATTGACTGTGAAAAGTAAAAAGAGACAATAAAAAAGTCTGGTTTATGTTAAAATATAACACAACCAGACAAATATCAGATACTCTGAGAAAAAACGGACCTTTTGGAAAACAAAATAAAGAAAACAAAAAATAGAAATTAATAATAATGTTCATAAGATAGAGAACAAGAGGCTGTTTAGCTGTTTCAAGTGTTTTTACCAGTTTATTGTGCTTTCAACATACTTCTATTCATTACAAGTTTTTGAACACGTGTGTGCGCTTTAACCATATGTAAAAAACATCATTATTAAAGGTGTGCAACCACAGTCATTGTCCTCCTCTCTGACGCCATGCAAAATGTACTTTTACCAAATTATTCACAAGGAAACCAAACACATTTTTATCATTGTCTGCAGTCAGAGAAATTTTGGGTCATTTTAAAGCATAATACAATTCTAGGTTGTGCCACATACCATAGTTCTCTTTATTGTACTGATCTGTTAGAGTATTGGCTATCATGTTCTGGTTCGTATCTTTCTCAGATCAGTTTCAAAGAAAGTAATTTTACTTTTTCACCAGATGCACACATTGAAAATGAGGCAACAATGAGAGACAAGAAAGGAAAATGGAACGATGTCCGCAGTGGCGCCAGAGAGGACAGAAACAGAGGGATGGAGGCAGACCTGTGCTAGAGAAAAGGGGACCAGATAAGAGCGATGCTTGGAAGCTTAAAGAGTAAAACATACGGGTGGAGGGGGAGGGGGTTCATGTGGGTCAGAGACTGGTGATAGAGATTAATGATGGAGTCCCAGACAAGAGCAGGAGGCAGAATGAAGGGTGATACAAGACAGAACAGAAGAACAATAATGCTGTCCAGCAAGGAGAGAGAGAGAGAGAGAGAGAGAGAGAGAGAGAGAGAGAGAGAGAGAGAGAGAGAGAGAGAGAGAGAGAGAGAGAGAGAGAGAGAGAGAGAGAGAGAGAGAGAGAGAGAAAGGGACCTGGACAAAGGACAAAGCCAAGTGTCTCATTTCAAGAAGCTGATCAGTGGCTGGAGGAAGAGTCCCAGAGTTCCCAGGACACACACCGTCACAAAAACCCAGAGGAAGATCCTGTCGATGACCATGGCTACATACTTCCAATCATCCTCGACCTGAGGAGAGAGGAAAGAAACATCAGGATGAGCCCATACACTCGTTTACAACTACACCTTCTACACCTCATAGCCTAAACAGTATTTCAAATTGTTCAGTGTTGGTTTTATAATTTCTCAAACTACCACATTGAGCTTGTTACTGTCTGACAACCAGAACATTTATTTTTCTGAGGAAATACTAAACTACGTCATGTATTAGTTCACAGATCAGCTGGTTTTCATGAACTAAAGGGAAATGTATTCAAATTTAGTTGCAGAATTAATGACTCAAATTATGTATGAAGGATTTCTCTTACTTTCAATTGACTTTGTCTGATTTCATGAAAACATTGGAAACCCTGCTCAATAGTCAAATTTCCTTGTGGGGTCACCCATTAGGACAGTGGGAGGGTTAATTCAACTTGAAAGGTGAAACTAATATGAGATAGACTCATTGCATATAAAGTGAGATATTTCGAGCATTTATTTGTTTTAATTGTAAGCAAGAAGGTCGGGTTCAAATCCAAGTCTGACATCTTCAGCATGGAGTTTGCATGTTCTCCTGTTGCATGCGTGGGTTCTTTCTAGACAGAGTCTTGGACGAGTCAGTCGCCGTACTGGCTATGGTACTCTGTCATATGACACCTGTCGCCCAAGCCAGGTATCCTGCGCTGACCAGGGCAGACAGGTTTCAGACCAGAGACTTGCTTCCATGAGAGGAGCAGGGCCTGATGACGAGACTAGATTCCATTGACGCTTTTAAGGATTTTCACAGTAAAACTCAAAATTTGCAGCTGAAACTGGAAATTACAGAAATGTACCAAAAACGTGTTTTTTTTTAAATGATGAAATAACAATTTCACATGTTAAAAAGCTCCAAAAAGGATTTTTCATAATATGACCCCTTCAATTGAAAAGGTTGAACGCAAATACAATGTGAATTTATACTCATAATTGTAATAATGGTACATATTTTAATAATAAAACAATGAAACACAAAATCACAGGGTTAGCAGGATGAGAAGATCTTCAAAAAATTCAAATCTGTATATTTGATACACTTGAAAAATGTTAAGATGTTACATTACAAAACCATTCAATGGCTCTTGATGATTTTTGCTCCTTCTGAATGATGACAGGAGTCCTAAACATGCAGCCGTGTTTATTTAAAAATGTATCTGGTGACAGGATATACCAGAGCTGAGTGAAGAGCACAAGCACGGTCCCTCCTAACCATTTCCAGGTGTGCAGAATGAGATTATGATTAAGCTGGGGCAATGAAGCCAGTGATTTGGAATGTTTAACTGTTCTGAATGCTTCTGAAAAAGAGCCAAGTGTTGCTAAGAAAAGATGAAGCTGAGGCAACAAAGATATCAGCAGCATCCAGAGAGTGAGGAGGGCGTCCACAAAGCCCGGCTTCTGTAACGAACAAGCAGCTTTAAACTCCTGATATAGCATCATGTAAATGCTTTCTGCTCCATGGTGGCTGCTGGTGTGTTACTTGAGTGTGCCGAGGAGACTGTGGGCAACAGCCTGCTCACCTAATTTAAATTAACTGTTTGATAATGACTAAAACGGGTTTTATTTTCACATGTTAAGAATTTGGTTTAGTTGTTGTCTAAGTAATTTTGGAATGAAAGATCTAAAGCTGCCTTTTGTGTGTGTGACCAACTTCTGAGGTTTTTGCTGAGTTTTGTTCGTGAGATCCAGATCAGTACAACCCCGTGTTATTTTAAGGCCAGTGCCATATATGGTGCTAAATTGAATACTAATTGGATGTTTTTTCAAAGTGACCACCGTCTGATTAGCCATGTCACATTTTATCAGGCTGGTGATGTCACAACTCTAGCAGAGAGGACAGGAAGCAGCAAGATCAAAGGTAAATAACAGATGAAACAAGCTTCCGTGTTCTCACTCCATTATGTTTTTGCTGGCTGTGAATGGGCAACAACTTCAGTATTACTACTAGTATCTAAATTTAATTGATCAGCTGTTTTTCTTTCTCTAAACACCTTCCATTGTAACAAAACTGTTTTTATCCCATGCTTTTTCATGTTTAAGTACATTATACCTTACACATGATAGGAATCCCCCATCTGTTATCTAATCACTCATATGTGGAAACCCAGATGCCGGTTTAATCTGCTGTTACAGACTCTCATGTTTTAGTGTGCGTGAGTCAGAATTGACAAATGCAGCTTCAATCCTCTCCTTAAAAAGAGATTACAAACTATTTAGTTCAGATAAGCCTCTTTTTTCTGACTCCACATAAACCAAGTTTGCCTCATGTGATGTCACTTGAAGGGAAGTTTTCCAGGGAGCCACAAAACTTTTCATGACTGTGCTTTATTTAATCATCTATTATCGTGATTTAGCAATAAAACTTTTGTTTTCTAACATGAGCAGTTTGAACGTCTAAACCTCGAGATTAATTTTGCTTTAATTTTGCTTTAAATTTCACTGATAATTGAAACTCATTCTGAACTCATGAGCTTCTCATTTGGCCTGAAAGGCATATTCACACATACACATCTGGAATTATTAGGTAGGGTCTACTGTTTTAAGTGTTGCAGCTTGCCTTTGCAAAGCAGCAGCTGCAACTGTATTTTTAAAACAATGATGTCAGGCTCTCCTACTCCACTGCGGGATGTTCAGCAGGATACTGAATCCTTATTTTATTAGATTATCTCTAGAGAGAAATCTGAAATCTGATTAGGTGATGCACTCTATGGCTGAATTTCCTAATGCTACACCCAACCTTATATGCCAAGTGTAAACTGGGCACTGCAGTTCAGATCACAAGAGGAAGGTGGTAATAAAAAACCTCTATGAATTGAGACACGCCCTCCAGCATTTTAACATAAACAAGCACAACATGTTTTAACTCGAATTTCAATAAGCAGCATCTAGCTGTAGTGCAGCTCCCATCGCTTCATTTGAAGGCTGCTTGAAGGCCTCCGTAAGCCCATCTGTACATCCAGGAACAACCGGGCCACCTCCAGCTAAAGCATTTATAAAACCAAACACTTCTGAACCTGCTGACTTGTGTCATTACCTCCTTGGCTTTGTTGCGAGTCCTCATGTTCTCTGCGATGTACTTCACACTCTCAATGGCCTGTTTGATCTCTGGCGACACCACAGAAAAGGCGACCACCGCGTTGACTGGCGACGAGGCTTTCAGGGGCCTCGGCACCTTCGGCAGCTCCGACTCCGAAGGCCCCTGAGTTGGGGGTGCTTGAGTTGAAGGAGGTGGCACCTTCAGGGGTGGAACAGGAGTTGGGACCTCCTTCCCTCTGTAGGGACACCTCCGGGTCATATCGCGGTTTAAGTCACGGTTCTTCTCACCAATATCTACACAGTTCATGGAGCCGCCAGCTGTGGAGGTTCCTCCACCTCCTGCTGAGCCACTCTCTATAGCTGGACACGGCACCCCTCCGGTTATTCCACCAACACTTACACTACCTGAGCTGCTTCCTCCTCCTATGCTGCTCTTTCTTGTCTTTAAGCCTCCACTGCTTCCTCCTCCTGTAACTCTAGCAGGTGATGAGCAGCTCTGGTCGATCGGTCGTCTCATCAGCATTACTCTGGGCAGTACTCCAAGAAACACCATCCTCACCCACTCCGGCATGGTGTGAGTCATGGGGGTGCGGTAGTGAACGTTCAGCACAAAGACGGTGATGACGATGCTCAGAGTCACAAAGATCATGGTGAAGAGGAGGTACTCTCCGATCAGAGGAATGACCAGCGATGTGGAGGGGATGGTCTCTGTGATGACCAGCAGGAACACGGTGAGGGAGAGCAGGACTGAGATGCACAAGGTGACCTTCTCTCCGCAGTCTGACGGGAGGTAGAAGACCAGCACAGTAAGGAAGGAGATGAGGAGGCAGGGGATGATGAGGTTGATGGTGTAGAAGAGAGGCAGGCGGCGGATGTAGAAGGAGTAGGTGATGTCCGGGTAGATTTCTTCACAGCAGTTATACTTGATGTCATGCTTGTACCCTGGTGCATCGATGATCTCCCACTCCCCGCTTTCCCAGAAGTCCTTTAGGTTCACCTGTCAAGGGTCACATGAGAGTTTTTAATTTAAAAAAACAAACTACAAACACATAAAGTCTGGTGAGGTGGAATCTCTGATATTTGAGTATCAGATGACAATTCTGAAACACGACGAGAGGCTTGTTCCCAAATGTGTTTCTATTAAAGTAATGGTTAATACTTAAGTGCGGTTCGCACGCCAGAATTTTTAATTGCCAGCCAATTTTCAAAGCATGAGAAAATGCACATGCAGTGATACTAAATCGCAGCTATACCAGTTTTGGTGTGCGGCGTGCAAATCACTGACTCCACTCGTGGACTTTCCCCCATCAGATGGAAAATCTTATGAGATCAAGCATGACTTCAAGGTAAACAAGCAAGGCAGAGGAGCATGCTGCAGGCTTTCATCACCTCGTTTTCTGATGGGCTAGACGTCACATTCAACAGAAAGCACGTTTGTTTGTAAATCAGATCCAATCCAACATGTTTGAAAGCCCAGATTTATGAACAGTCCTACGTCCTTCTGAGCAGAACATAGCTCTCTAAGTGACCACACATGGTAGGATTATCTAAGAGTATTGTTACAGCCGTTATGGTAATAGGGAAGAACTTAAAGGGTCAAAAATCAGCATGATTATCCAGCCTTGTAAACCTGGTTTTAGTCATCTGGATACAAACAAACAATACATGTTAAATAGCCTAATATAAGCCTAAACATTTAATGTTGGTTTTAGTACTATATGAAATTTTAGCAATTAAAACTAATGATACATTAGTGGTGAACATACAAATTATTCATGTACAAATTTCCCTTTTAAGTTTCAGCGCTTCTTCACTGAGACAAGTTCAGAGATGAACTCTGGTTGGTTGGTATGGACCCAGAGGTTGAATTGTGTTTGAAGCTGAGTACGAGTGAGAACAATGGAAAAGATTACACAGGACTTTAGCTGTTAAACACATTTCAGACATGATATCTCTTCTATTGTGCTTTTTCCCAACTTCATTTGGGGGATTTTGATGCAAGATTTCATTTAATTTGATTTCATTTTTATTTCAAACAGATATATCCATCAGAATTTACTGTCATCATCATTTATTCCACAACATTCCTTTGTTTGAAAGGGAGCAGGCTGACGTGTAAACTGATATATCCTTACCACTTCTTATATGATATATGTTACTTGTTTATTATATTATAATATCACACTAACTAAAAAAGAGAAAAATAAAAAAATAAATAAACAACTAATCTAAAGCAATTACCCCCCCAAGATCGCTGTGAAATTTCATTGTTTCCAATAAAGAAACACTTTAGGCTATTAAATCTATCATAAATGTGTTAATAAAGTTTCCTATTCAAACAGAAATAAATATGAAGAGCATAAAAACAGATAAAAGCCATTTGTGATCAAAATCATCAAACTAAATTTAGGCTGAAACAACATAAAGTAAATAATAATAATAATAATAATAATAATAATAATAATAATATGTATTTTGGGTAACTTTTCAAACAGAGTTAGCTGTTTTGGCAAATGAAATATGAATATGAAAATAGCACAGATAATATAACAGTACACATATTCCTCCCCATGACACACACACACACACACACACACACACACACACACACACACACACACACACACACACACACACACACACACAAACACACTCTAACCTTGGAACCAATTAGCACCAAGTCGATCTTGGCTTTATCGTAGGTCCAGGAGCCGAACTTCATGGAGCAGTTCTGGTAGTCAAAAGGGAAGTACGTAATGTCCATCGGACAGGAGGATTTGAATATCGCTGGGGGAACCCATGTGATTGTACCGTCATACTTCAGCAGAGCTTTGGTTTTGTCTTCCACCAGGAAATCACCTACAGCACTGGGAGAGAGTTTTTCATTTAGCTAAAGGATCAGAAGAGTCAGAGCAAACACTCAGATCAGGTATGGAGAAGAAATGAGACAACCTGATCTCAAAGGTGTAGCTGCAGGTTATGAATATGGTTATGTTGAGGTATGGCTTAGTTTGCTTGGCTTAGTGTGGGGCTTACTTGGGTGTCTATTTTTTTCCAGTAAAATTTACTTTAGTTTTGACAAGTACCTCAATCAGTTTTACAAAAAAAGGATTTTCTTTAAAACTGTATAATTTCTCTGAAAGGATCATTTTGGTTCTATAAGATGGGAAGATTTCAGGCAAAGAAAATCTAATTTAAAGGTTTACACTGCAGAGATTGATTTTCCAGAAAATAAAAGATTTCATTTATTTGTTTTACATAAATTAATTTCTTAGCTAACATGTTTTGCTAAAACAATTGATCTCATTTCAGATATTTCAATATATTTCAGCTCATCTTGAGCTTTATTTACCATTTATGGCAATGGTTTGGTTGAAATTCCAGAATAAGAATAATATTAGTTTTCATATGTAACCTCCTAAGACTCATTTTTGACTAACAAAAAAGAGAGGAAAGAAACATGTTCAAGATAATATAAAATTTCTCTGAATAATAAAAAAACGTCTAAGTTCCAGACATTAAAATATTGTAGTACAAGAAGTCAATGTCCACATATGTGGACACAGGACCACAGGAGGTTAAAGAGTAAGGTCACTTAAACAGTTTCTTAATTCAAGATTATTTCTGTGTAAAACTGAAATCTGGATTGAGATTATCAGCAGAAATCAGTGCCATGTTTGTAATTTCTGATTTACATGTGTCATAATCTGCTGGTATTTAGTTATATGAGTGTAATTCTCCCTCTGCTCCACAGTATTGCTCTCTGCCTACCTGCTTCTCATCAGTTATTCTGCTCACTTGTTCTTACTTTGTAATCACCGTAGATTATTTATTCTAAAACCAACAGAAGCCATGAGGTTCTATAAATGCCAGAAAATCACTGTTTGCATGCAAGATAAATGTTATTCTGAACTTCAACTGCTTAGTATTTAGATTTGCTTCACTCCAATTGGCACACTTATGTTTATGTTTGTTTATGTTTATGTATTTAGCAGACGCTTTGTCCAAAGCGACTTGTCAACATCTCCCAAATTATGGTCAGGGAAATAAAACAATAGAATCTAATTAATGTAGAAATTTCTCTCAGACCATCAGAGTTTGAAGCTTCCACTTTTGTGCACTAAAACGTACTTGTTATATAAAACGATATCTGGCCTCCAGATCTTGTTAGAAGGGACTCGGATGAACTCGATGCCATCATAGTCAACTGGAGTCCATCTCAGCTTGTAGTCATTCCACACCTAACTCACCGGAGAAGCAGAAAATCTTAATAAGATGGTGAAAATGACCAAACAGATAATGGAAACCACCAAATCAGAACTCACGTGTCTCAACCACAAGTTAGTCTCCATGATTTGATTCACCTCGTCCTGACAAACATAACATAAAAACAGCTGATGATGTGTTTTGGATTCTTTTTAAACATCTCATTTGTATTTCAGGAGAGCTGTTTATTGCTGGGATTATTTGCTCTTACCACTTTGACCAGTTGAGATATAGACACCTCAAACTCCACAGTAACTGGATCAGAGACATTCTCCACCGGTCGGATGAACTGGTTGTATCTCCGAAACAACCTTCGGAATAATCTGTCCTCTGCTTTGGATGGAAAACCGCCTGAAGACATGGAAAAAGGAAAGATGAGGAGGAAATGGGAGAAGATTAGCAGGCGGGGAGCTGGAATGCAGTGTCATTTAACACTGACTGTTAAATATATCTTTGTGGAGCTGTCTGAGATGATCGCTGCTGGGAAATTAAACTTTACTCCATTTATTAGCAAAAGGTCAGTCACTCAAGTGGATTTATCAGTGTCTGCTAAAAAATAATAATCTGAGTGGCTAGAAAGTTAATTTTCTCTCTGCATCAAGGTTAAAGTTCACCAGTGAAGGAGAACGAACCAGAGACTGAAGTGGATTACAGAATGACTTCTGTGCCCTTTAGATCCTTCAGATGTAGCATCATCTCAAACCAATCTGACACAAATTTACATTAGACTTTTGTGAAATGACCACATATCTGTCAGAAGAGGCAGCAGGTCCGCCATGACTCCATGAGGATAACAGCAAATAAATAATTGAAGGTAACATTTGGCCTATTTCTAAAGATAAACCTGATCCTCAGGTTATAAGTGCACTAATAGTTATGTCAGGAGCTTAATCTGATTTGGACCAAAGATTATGTAGCATTATCAAAAGGTCACAGTAGAAACTACATTATTCATGATGCAATGTCTTTACAACTGTGGAAAATTTACAAAGCTTGGAAAAGTGTTGGTTCGCTTAAAGCTTTATTCTATTTTTGCTTTGTTTCTACACCTAAATGTTTCAGATCAGCAAACCAGTGACAGAAAAAAAAGAAAGACAAAAACAAAAGGCAGTTTTCAAAGGATGTTTTATTTCATTAAAGTGATTCAAATCAACCTGGACGTGTTTGAAAAAATAATTCCCCCTAAAGGTAACTGATGTAGTCATTCTTCTTCTGGCAACAGCAGCAACCAAGTGTTTGTGATAACTGATTGTGAGCCTCTCAGTTTGCTGTAAATGAACTTTGTGCCACTCTTCCAGGGAAAGTTTGTTTTAAGAATGAACTAGTTCAATGTTCAGTTCATACATTTTAAAACAAACAAGTTCATTTTTAGTTCACCATTAAAAATATTTAGAACTAAGTTCACTGTTCAAAAACAAACTAATATATATATATCCAACACCAGAGCCCCTCACACACAGAGAAGCTTACTTGGGCTAAAGTGTCAGTCGAGGATATTAGGAAATATTACTTACTGTCAGATTGTAGTCTGAGATCTGTTAGTGTCCACAAAGAAACGTTACAGTGTAGAGATGTTAACTGTGAACATATGGAGCACAGGCTGCACTTATGCACTTTGTATCAAAATATTGTGGACAGCTTGATTATTGCCAGCGAGTTCCTCTGCCAAAAAGGAGCAACAAAATTTAAACCGCTTCCAGGATGGAGTGAGCATGCTTATGCGTTACATGCTGAGTCCAGAGCAGCCTATAAAGCCTGGGCAGCTGCTGGTAAACCAAAATCCGGTTCAATATTGGAGTCTAAGAAAGCCGCGAACGTTAAGTTCAAGAATGCTGTTCGCTATATTAAAAGAAATGAGCAAACAATGCGGGCAAACTCCTTAGCGAACAAACTAAAGAATAATGATGTTTCAGAGTTCTGGAAGGAGTTAAAACGCTCCTGTATCAGTAAGCAGCTGCTACCTGCATCTATAAATGGGGTATCAGGAGACAAGAACATTGTTGAAGCCTGGAGGAATCACTTTAGCAGAATTTTTAACTGTGTAAATAGTGAAAGGTTCAATCTTGGCAACATTGACTACAATGATGGTATGATTGTCAGAGCTGATGAAGTCCGTCTCGCTATAGAGAAAATGTCTTTAAACAAAGCTTGCGGCCCGGATCAACTATCAGCAGAGCACATGAAGTATGCTAGCTGTAGAGCTCAGGTGTTACTTTCATTGTGCTTTACCGGCTTTTTGAAGCATGGAATCTTGCCTGACCATATGTTATCTGTTCTCTTAGTCCCTATAGTCAAAGAGAAAACTGGAAAAATCTCCTGTATTGATAACTACAGGCCTATTGCTATGGCTAGTGTGTTGTCCAAGGTGTTTGAGCATATTTTGCTGGAAAGACTGCAAAATTTTATAACTACGACAGAGAATCAGTTTGGTTTTAAAGGTAAACTTAGTACTGACTTGTGTATCTATGCTTTAAAAGAAACTGTAAGCAAATACATGAGGCATAATACTTCTGTTTTTATGTGTTTTTTAGATGCCTCTAAGGCCTTTGACAGAGTCAATCATCAGAAATTATTCATCAAGCTACAAAACAGAGGGGTCCCTTCTTACCTAGTTAGGATTTTGCACTTCTGGTACTCTCATCAACTGATGCAGGTAAAGTGGGGGACAGAAGTGTCTGAACCTTTCTCTGTATCAAATGGAGTCAGACAAGGCGGGATTCTGTCACCTGTCCTTTTTAACCTGTACCTTGACGAGTTGTCTGTTACTCTGAATGCTAGTAAGACTGGATGCTTGGTGGGTGACCGACTGGTAAATCATTTAATATATGCAGATGACCTAGTCCTCATGTCTCCCTATAGCGCAGGCCTGCAGCAGCTGCTCAGGGCATGTGCTAAGTATGGTGAGCAATTTGACATCCTGTTTAACCCTAAAAAGAGTGTGGTTATGATTGCTGCTACTAAAGGGGACCTGAAGCTTAATTTTCCATCTTTTAACTTAACAAATCAGGTCCTGGAAGTGGTAAGCAAAGTAAAATATTTGGGGCACATTTTAAGAAGTGACCTCTGTGATGACGAGGACATTAAGAGGCAGTGTGGTAAGCTGTACATGCAGGCTAACACACTGGCACGTAACTTTGGCATGTGCTCAGATCCTGTTAAAGTGTCCCTCTTTCGTTCCTTTTGTACTCCTCTCTATACAGCCCACTGGTGGTGCAACTATAGTAAGGTAGTAATGAAGAAGCTTCAAGTGGCTTATCAGGATGCTTTTAGAATCCTCATGAAGCTCCCTAGATGGACTTCGGCAAGTCACATGTTTGTTACGAGTAACATCCCAACTTTTCATGCGCTTCTGAGGCTCTTCATGTACAAATTCATCTGCCGACTGAGTTTGTCAGCTAACACGGTTGTTAGAGCTCTGTCATCTTTATCTTACAGTGACACGAGGTACTCCTCAGTCCTTTTTAAACATTGGAGCAACTGCCTATACGGTTTGTAATTAGAATGTGTTTGTATTTTATTTTTTTTATTTATTTATTTATTTATTTATTTTTTTATTCTTGTTATGGACATATCCCTTGTCTGAAATAAAGTTTGATTGATTGATTGATATATATATATATATATATATATATATATATATATATATATATATATATATATATATATATATATATAATTAATAGAAATCAGTTTGAATGGCATCCATTAAAAGGTGAATTATTAATCAACCAGAGGGACAAACTAGGCTGAGATAGGAAACAAGAATGTACCTCAAATTGAAATATTCAGTGCAAAACATTCAGTTATCTTTAAATCACGGAACTTCTCAAATTCTGACAATTTTCTGACTTGTTTGCCCAAGAGACAAAAGGTATAGACCTTGGATCAACAATCATCCCCAAATGATTTGGTAAAAAACAAAGTGTCAGAGTCCAAGCCCCCAGGCCGGGCTCTCCCAGCTGACCGGCTTCCGTCTTGGACCACATTACCCAGCACGCCCCTCGCAGGAATTCCCTCCACGTTTCACCTGCGTCATCCATGTCTATATATGGAAGACGCTACACCGGCTCTTCACTCAGTCATCGTTCCACCGTGATCCATGATCAGAGTATTTCCAAAGCTACTACAGCTAAACCTCCACCTTTCCTCCTCAGACCTCATCCGTCAGCCGTTCCAGCACCGCTTTCAGCCCACCATCTGTATAATAAACGCTCTTACTCCCGAACCCAGTCTTCGAGTCTGACACAAAGCAAATAAATAAATAAACGAATTGTTTAATATTACAGGTGCGACACAGTGACTGGTGATTTCAGGTTTGTCTTTTTCCTCGGTTCATTCCAGTTAATTCCATACTTGGAAATGTCAACTTCAGAGTAGAAATAATAAACTGGAACAACCCCCAAAGTCAGAGAATGTTTTTTTTTAAATTCAACTTTAAGGTTCAATATAGCAGCTCCTTGTTAAAACAATAGTAGCTGTGGAGGAAATATCTTTTACAAGATAAACTTTTAAGGGTGCATCTAAAATCGATGTTATGTACAGTTATGTGTAGTTGTATATTTTCCAATGTAAATGGAATGCACCATGACGTCCGTCCTCCATACAACATAGGCATACAAGAGTAGATGCCGCACCGACCGCTTCTACCTATGATGGCCGCATTTGCAGGTTCTACATTTTATAACATCTATGATTAACAGGATGTTTTAGCTAGGCTTTAGCTCCGAGGAGATCTGGAGCTCAAATAACAAAATAATGCGTTCATAAACCCATTCACGCATGCCTTAACGAACACCTTCACTTTAACGTTCGTCATGCAAAATTTGAACAAGTTTGGTTCACGTTCACAAGAAAAACAAATTAGTTCACGAATGATTGTTCATTTGGGAACAACACTGCACTCTTCTTTATACTCTAATTTCCCTCAGGGATTAATAAAGTATTTTTGAATTGAATTAAAAAAAAAAAGAAAACGAATTGAATTGAATTGAATTGAATAGATATGTTCTCCTTCAGCACCATTGGAGGGTTTTCCAGCATTAAATGGCCTGTCAAAGGTCAGACCATCACACTACCACCAACGTGTTTGGTCAGTTGTGTGATGTTTATTCTCTTTAATGCAATATCAGTTTGTTCCACTTTTGTCTTTTTAATCAACAGAATGGTTTCCCAAAATTATTTGAGATCATCAGGATTTGTGTTTCTGTAGGTGTGCAGAGGTTTTGTCCTTGGAAGCCATGTTTGCCTCACATAACTTTCTCATTGCTGAATCATTAACCCTGACCTTAAATGAGTCTTGCAGTATTTCAGTAGTTGTTCTTGGTTCTTTTGGTCTTAAATATCTTTAAAAG